TTTAGTATTTTCCTTTTTCATTTTGCATCTGATTTTCGTTTAGTTTCAGCTTTTATTTTCATCACAAAATGGCTAAGTCTTTATCCTGTTGACCATTCACATACAGATATTTCATAAATGTTCGGTTAAATACCAAATTAAGGAAAGCAGATACACTTGAAATAATCCTTCTTCCTTGATCAATTCTTCTTCAAGACTTTTCATATCAAATTTCCATGGCAAGTAGGCATTTTGAGATGGAGTTACTAAATCAAAGCTAAGTCTACCTTTTTAACTGTAGTTTTCTGAATTCAGAGTTGTCCTTCTACTAAACCTATTGCTAACCAAGAGTGGAGTTATACTAACTCAACGCTAGAAGACAAGCATTATCAAATTCAAATTTTAACATATTGTAAGGTAAAAGTTAGAATATGTCTATAAATTACAGTTAATTCATTTCTTTGATTAATGAGGGTTTCTTAGCAGTCAATTTGACAATTTCTAATTTCTCATGTAAGCATAAGAAACAAGGTTCATTTAAAGATCTACATATTTTACCTATCTAAATTTTTCCATATTACCGTAGGAATTTATTAGCTTCTTTTAAATTCCAAAAACATTTAGAAAGTGATGTACTATTTTTACAAGTACTATTAGTGAAGGATAAGATATTCTGGTATCATCAGTCTTAACTGAACTCTTAGTACTTACAATATAGGTCATGACATGAAGGTGTCTACATATAAATCCTAGACAATTTCATTTGGGACAGATCCAAATGGTTTCGATATTTTGCAAAGTATGGCTAAGTTTTTATCATGTTGACCATTCACATACTGATATTTCATAACTGGACGGTTAAATCCCAAATTTAGGAAATCGGATACACTTGAGTTGATCCTTGTATCTTCTTCATTGACCAATTCTTCTTCGAGATGTTTCATATCTAGTTTCCACAGCAAGTAAGTCTTTCGAGATGGTGTTATTAAATCAGAACTATGTGTACCTTTTAACTCTAGTTTTCTGGATTCAGAGTTGTCCTTCTACTAAACTGGTTACCAACCAAGGCTGGAGAGGTATGTCACACCCACACACATCCATAGGTTGACGATTGCGTTCAAGCATGAAACAGGCTGGATATTGACTTCAATGTCCACTTATTTTTATTTTTATACGGTCTGTCCCTGATATTGAGCACTTTAACCTTAAAACCATAATTTTATCAAGTATATATATATATATATATATATATATATATTGTGCATTTAAGTAGTAATCCTTCTTTTATAAATTTTTCGTTAAAGACGACTGACAAAATGTTTAAAAACTGTCCAAAAGTTCTGCATATCCCAGAGCTTTCGGATATTCTTTTAGTCATTATCAAGGGCAATTTTTATTTTTTTTACTAAATGTTTGGGTTTTTATGTAAGTGTTTAAAGTTATAGAAATGTTTTATTTACCGAAAACACCAAATTGTGGCCGTGTTCATCGTTAATGTTATAGGGTGTTGGTTTTCATTTTTTACTATTAGGGCTTCCAGAATTTTAAATCTTTTTTTTACATGTGGATGACGCTATTATACGTGTATTTTCTACTAGTATGTTTTGAATAGAGTTTAGTAGTTGTTTGTGTTTAACTGAGTCCCAATGGAGTTAGGGTTTGGCAGGTGTAACGTAAGTCATCTAGATAGTAGTGTGACCAATGTAATTATTTATGAGTTTGGTTTAATCAAGAACACAGTTCCTTAACGGACATTTGAACTTGCAAATAATTTTCGTTCTTTGTAGTTTTGATTTTGCAGGTGTGTCGTTATTTTTTATGCTAAAGTTGGCTGTTTTAAATTTTTGTAATAGATAATTTGTCATTTTATGGTCAAAAGAACTTGCCTACAGAAACATTACAAAAAAATGCTTACTATGCCTACACGAAAAAGTAGCAATTGTATCCCATGCCTCACAAAAGAATTTACTAAACAAAACATCAGAGATAATTTCCAAATGTAGGCATGAGAATAAATACCTATTATCAGAATTTATACCAAACCGATAGAAAAAAAACAACCATTCATTACAAAATTTACATAAATGTTCTTGTCATTCCATCACCATTACTAATCATTTCTACCACTTTACAATAATTATTAGCTACTAATATTATCATTGCCACCAATCCCCCAACACCATTACTACCACATCACATCTACTATAAACCCGCTATAATTATTAACGTAAACTACGCCCCCTCCCCCAGCATACTTAATAGCACCAAATAAAAACCAATAAGGATTACAAACTGCAAATTCTACCGGTTACATATACGAAGTCATCAAAAACAAGGAAATAACCAGCTTTAAAATAATAACAAATCAGCCTTAAACAATTAAAAATAATAGCAATTTTTACCGATCATAATTTTACACAGACCCCACCACACGTATATACGTGCGCGTGAGGAAATATTATTCAACGAAAGAATAGAAAAATGGTCTGATTGTTGACATATATACATTCACGAAAAATATAAGCTACACATCCCGTCTTTGAATTTCATCAACCAAATAAGTATGTATGTAGACAACAGCACACGTGTACATACATACGTCAAGTCCCATACTGTCCACATATGTTTATGTTTGTATGAGGTCCGGCGGGCGAGCGAGTGTGTATGTGTGTCTGCGTACCTCAATGGGTGTACGGACATGCATCTATGTTTGCGTTAGCATGAGTGACATCACCACGACGACTACCCCCACACTTCCATAATAACGCCAATACACGCAATCTACATAACTCCAAATTTTTTAAAAAAATTAATCAGTTTTTCTGACGATCGCAAAAGCGTTAAACCCAGGGTCACAAACTCACATCAATCCAACCAAATATGTTAGCTCTATCACAGATATTGAGCGCTTTCTAATAAGTACCACCCATATAATATATAAATAATAATACACACACACACACACACATATATATATATATATATATATATATATATATATATATATATATATATATACACACACGCACACACTTTTGTACACACACACACACACACACACACACACACACACACACACACACAGAAACGGGGAGGCACATGTGTTATATTATTTAAGAGATCTAATATTTCAGGGGCTAGTTGTTTGCCATGATTAGGGTTGTAGACACACACACACACACATATATATATAATTATATATATATATATGAAGAAATATAGTTTAAGGTATGCTATATTTATGGGACAAAGGGCTCTATATCAGATAAAGCGTATGTAAATTTAAAAGTGAACATTGAAGTCAACACTCAGAGGTGACAGACTGTTACATGATAAACGGTCTGATGATTGCGTTTAGCATGAAACGGTCTGTCGCATCTGAGTATTGACTTCAACGTTTACTTTATATATATATATATATATATATATATATATATATATATAACTGTGTTTTTATTTATAAGAAATATTTAATATATGCCATATTTATGGCTAAAAGTGCACACTATCAGGAATGGTGTCTGTAAATATGAGAGTGGAAACTGAAGTCGACACCGAGTGGCGACAGTCTGTTTGATGCAATTTTCAGGCCTGAAGATTATATGTAAGCGTGTATATAATGGTGGGTTTTATGTACATTCTCTAATATATTCTTAATAGCTATGTTATATATTATTGAGCACCGTCTTTATGACACTTGAGTAAAAATATATTTGTACGCGCAAGTATATGTGTGTATAGGTATGTTTTTTAAGTTTTTTTTATCATACCCATATCAATAATTTGTACATATTGCATAAAACCTTTGCTTCATGTCTGAAGAGAGTGTTCGTAGATAACTTTCTTCTTCTTCTTCCTGTTCTTTTTCCTTTTCTCATTTCTTTTTCTTTTTCTTCCTTTTCTCTTTTCTGTTTTCTTCTTCTTTTTCCTTAACTCTTTTCTTTACTTCTTCCTTTTTTCTTTTTCTTCTTCTTTCATTTCACTTTTTCTTGTTCTTCTTTTTCTTCCTCTTCTCATTTCTTTTATCTTCTTCTTCTTCTTCTTCTTCTTCTTCTTTCCTTCTTTCTTTCTTTGCTCTTCTTTTTTTTCTTCTTCTTTCTTTTCTCTTCTTAAATTGCCAGAAATCACATTTCTTCTTGTACATGTTTTTTTTTTTTATTGCATGTTGTTTAATGGCACATCAACAACTATAAAGGTTATTTAAAGCTAGGCAAAGGTTTTGAATGTTCGTTGTTTTTGGTATTACTTAATGTTAACTGTTGATCAGTGATAGCTTTATGTACAGGTTACTTGGTGAACGTTTTTTTTTTCTTTTTAATAAGTTATTAGTGATGTTGATTTTGTTTTCCGTTTCCGTTGATTATTAGAATTTGCATTGTTATTTTAGTGGAGATATGAAGTCTGAAGTTTTCTATGTAGTTTTGTTAGTATTTTTTATATTTTCATATAAAGTTTGACAACTCTTAAGAAATTGTACGGTTTATCTTTTTGAAAAATTCTTTTGTATTGTTTGTTTGATTTTCTTTGGGTTTGGTTGGGATAAGGGCAACTGATAAGGATGTCTTCGATTGTGAGAATTACTTGCCATTTATATCTATAGTATAGACATAGGAATCAACAATGCATGATGATGGCTACTTTCCACCTCAATGTGATCTTCATATATATATATATATATATATATATATATATATATATATATACAGGTAAAATGAGAACAAAGGGAGTATAATTCCGCTGTCCGTAACATTTAATTTAAAAGAGCGCTCAATGGAGATATTTTTGTCTTTGCTTTTTTATATCCTAAAATAAATAAATATACATATATATATATATATATATGTGTGTGTGTGTGTGTGTGTGTGTGTGTGTGTGTGTGTGTGTGTGTGTGCATTGGGATAGGGTCAGATTGAAACAAGAATGATATATTTTAACTTACATCAAATATTGTACCTGGGATTGCAGAATTATTTCCTGGGGTTTGTAGACGAAATCCTTGGAAATCAGAGAGTTTCATTTTTTCAATGGTCTGAAAGACGAAGAGATAGATAGATAGATAGATAGATAGATAGATAGATAGATAGATAGAAGCAGAGGCAAGAATAGATAGATAGATAGATAGAAGCAGAGGCAGGAATAGATAGATAGATAGATAGATAGATAGATAGATAGATAGATAGATAGATATTGGCAAACCATGTAGGGATAAACGTAAATAGACAGAGAGATATTGAATAAAGATAAATAGTTATATATATATATATATAGGCATGAACAGATGTAGAGAGATAGATATGAACAGAGACAGGGTAGTTAAATGTTAACCAAACATAGATAGATATATTGATAGATATTGACAGAAAACAGATATGACAAAGATAAGATAGATAGATAGATAGATAGATAGATAGATAGATAGATACAGATATTGACCAAACATACATATATATATATATATAGAGAGAGAGAGAGATATATATAGAGAGAGATTGACCAACCATAGGTAGATAGATGGAGATCTATTGGCTAAAAATAGATACAGTGATGTTGACCAATCATAGAAAGAATGAGAGATATTTCCCAAACAGATATAAAGAGGGAGAAACAGATAGATATTTATCAAACATAGAAAGAGTGAAAGACAAAGAGAATCAGATACATATTGACCAAACAGATAAAGATATTAACCAAACATTGAAAAGAAGAAAAGGGCAAAGAGAGTAATAGATAAGTATTAACCAAACATACATAGATCTAAGGTAATGAATCAATCTCAGTGATACTGGTGGTGGGGGCCATTGATCTTTATCAATGCAGGTGCACCGCGCACACATACCTGCCATAGCTCAAGCAGTGACAAGGACAGATTGTGGTGTTGAAGCAGCTTATTCGGAGTTGTGTACTTTATGTCTTTAAGGTGGGGTTGTCTGCGACAACATCAAGCTGTCGATTACATCAAGACATTAGGGATAATTCCATGAGGGAATGCTCAATCAGGCATTTGTTCCAGAAGTTTAGGTCGGTAGATCTGTCACTTTGTAATGAAGCCCACAGTGGCCGGCCAGGTAGATGATGAGGCCCTGAAGGCGGCCACAAAGGAGGATGATATCCAAAGCTGCGGTGATCTTGTCCAACGTTTCCAGGTTTGAGATGAAACAGTCAGGCCGGATAAGGATTGCGTACAAGCTGAGCAAGTAGGTACCCCACAAACCGTCAGAAGTCAACAAGTAATAATGAGTGGCAAACTGTTTCTCGTTACCTCATATTTGATCGAGTGCTCACCAGTGACGAAAAGTGCGCCCTGTCTGTGCAGCCCAAAAGAGAGAAAAAATCTTAACCACCAACCGCGATTGAGGTCGGGGCCTGTGACCAACCCGTGAACGCGGAATTTCCGGTAGGCATGGGTCAACAGCACATGTCAATTACGTCCCTGCCCTTTATACACACCGCCCGTTGCTACTACCAATCGAACGGTCTGGTGAGGTTTTTGGATCTGGCCGCCGCCCCCACCGGGCAGCGTGCACGTGTCGTTCCAGACATTGATTATCACCACAGAACCCTGTGCTTCACACCACATTTATACTCGCACAAGTTCATCATACGCTGTATCTGGTGACCTAGTTGACAAGTGGTGCACTATCAGCAGATCAAACCTTCACTGCGTACCTGTACTCACAGAAGTTAGAATAAGTGCAACATGCATGGAATCAGAAGAAGCCAGTACTGGCTAATCACTAGGGGATTCTCTTCCTCCATGACAATGCCAGGTCTCACTTGGTGCGTTGGCTAGGGACACCATACAGACACTTGGCTGAGAGACACCGTGTCATCCACTTTACTCCCCGGATTTTGCACCAGCATATTGCCACTTCTTCCATCCCCTGGACAATCACCTTTGTGGGAAATCTTTAATAAATGAGGAAGATTTGAGGCAGGCACTCGCACACATTTCTCTGCGTCCAAGACACGTGATGGAGGCGTGTTGACAATAGATTCTGGACGCTGATGGGGATTACTTTGAGGATTAACGGTATATATTATTTGATGTCTCACTGTTTTTTCTAATAAATAAAAAACGGCAAGGACTTTTTGGTTACCTTATAGACAGAGAGAGAGAGGGGGGGATTGATAAAACGTAGAAAGTGAGAGAGAGACAAATAGATATTGACCAATCATAGAGAGAGAGAGAGAGAGAAATAGTAATTGACCAACCATAGATTGATAGAGATATTGATCAAGCATAGACAGAGAGACGGAATGAAAAAACAGATAGTTATTGACTGAACAGAGAGAGAGGAAGAGAGAAACAGCTAGATATTGACCAAACATAGAAAGGGAGAGAGATAGAAAGAGATATAAAATTGAACAAATGTAAAGAGAGTTTGGCGATAGATAGAAACATATAACTATTGATCAAACAGAGGTAGATAGATTCCTTCAATATACTCGGTTTTATAAATAAATTCCTTAATATTTGCTGCATTATGTCCAAAAAGTAATTACCATGTCTCCAAACTTTTGCACATGACTTGTCTTCACTTCTTTCTTGACGATATCATACTGCTCCAGGACAGTTGTTTTGTTCAAGAGCACCTGAAAAAAATTACAATTTGACCTCATAAATCAATCTTTTAACAGGAAATGGCACATTGACTACTATATGCTACTACATAAATGCCAAACAAAATTCCAAAATCAGCTTCACCTTATCTGAATGTTCCATCCACTTGACACTGAAGACGTCGCCAAGACAAGTATTCAACCCCTTGACACAGTAGCAGGCATATGATGGCTCGTTTCCATTGGCTGCAGTCATACCAAAGACTACAAACAAGAAATAATAATAAGATTTGTGCCTGTCTATATTTCTGAGATGAGGTATAATGTACACTATTTACATTATTCGGTCTATTGTCCTTAGCTTTGTTGCCATATTCATCACAACGTTTCGGCCGTTATATGCTCCGGCCTTTTTCAGGTGATTGGAATGTCGAGCTGAACCCTTTATTTTGCTCGCTGGGGTAGACTGTTCTAGTTCCACGTGCCATGTCTAATGGATGTCAGTTATCAGATATCTCCTGTTAATTCCCCTCTTCAAGTTCTCCACTGCCCTAACCAGTTATTAACTCAAAAACACATGGCACAGTGGATAAAAGCATTGGTTAGATCTAGTGACAGGACCCAAAGAGTTCTAAGTTCCATCAAACTTTCAAAAAGTTCCCAAGAACTGCTACTTTGTGAAACAGACTCCCACGAAGGTGCTTCCCCTATATCTGCAATCATGAGTCAACTATTATCAACTGTCAACAACCTCATTCAGAAATCTTCTACCTTGAGTGACTCTTAGGCTTTGTATTGAGTGAAGAAAAAGTCGTCCATTTTTAAAGCCATAACAAAAACAAATAGCAAATTTGGACTGTCATTCTCGAAAAAAAAAACATTGTTTCAAATGAACGGTTTTCCCCTTGACACTGCTATTATTTTAACTACCTTCACTCCTCAATAATGTTTATTATTTAAAAACCGATGATTAGAATTGGAATAAGACCTAAACATGTGATGAAAGTGAATTTATAATTTTTTTTCTTAAGAATTTACAATAATGGAGCAGAAAAACAAGAAAGAACTTTAAAATTATTGCAGCAATTAATGCCTCCATTCGGTTTCTTTTGTCTCTTTCGTCCGCGACACATGTAACCAATTCAAAGTTCAATCGAAAAATCTGTCCTAACAGTCCAAAAGGCAACGTAGTAACGACACAGCGTGTTCAGAAATCCTATCTTCACTACGTAGTAGCAGGAACGCACGTCCGTCCACCAAGATCAAAAAAATTCATTCTGCCGGTAAGCAAAAAGCAACGAGTGATTTTTTTGATTTATACTATTCAAGGTGGGAAAAACATTAGCATAGTTTCTCTGATACATAAAGTAGCAGGTTTTTGTTAAATATCTTCTTGAATTCTTCTTCAGCAGATCCCGCATAAAACGCGAGCCCTTTTTCGAGGTAAGTGATTTTCTTTTTCGCCACACACAACAAAATTAAATACTATTTATTAACGAGATTGTTCATTTTCAAGAATAATTTCAGATTTATTTTTAAAAACTAATACAGTGCGATATTTAGCAAGTTATAACGAAATAAATATGAAAATAATTTTTTATTCATAAATTTCCAAATTATTAAAATATGTGAAACAAATATAAGGAAAACTTTATTATTTACGATTTTATAAAGTTTGAATCGATTGGCAATTAGCTGATGTTTTGCCAACATTTACAATAAACAATAGAATAAATAATTAGTGTTTATTATTTTTGTTATCATTTCTCAAAAACAAAGAATATGTATAAATTCATTTTTATATGTTTAAGTTTTATTACAATTCTAAATATCGCTTTTTAAAACAAACATTGTCGAAGGAGTCGAAAGTGTATTCACTAATAGTAATAATTTAAATATCTGGAAAGTGTTTTATCAGACGATAGAAAATGGGACATTGAATTAAGAAGATGTATTGGGATAGCAAAAAAATGCATTACAAAAGCCAAACAAAGTATAAAGAAACAAGAAAATTTTGTTAGAAACAAAAAAGAGGATTGAAATGTGATGTAATATCATTCGCTTATATGGCAGTGAACGCTGGACCATTAAGTATTTCAGCATAATCTGCAATATATACTGGGAGAAAATCACCTCAAAATGGCTGAAAAAATGACTACAATGAATATGCAAAAAATAGAAAAAAGTGTCAGAGAAGATGTGTCTTCTTACCGGACTTATACAGACTATAAAGTGATGTGATTCTGAGAATTAAAAGACTGAAGAATATTTATTATTGGTGGCCACAATCTTAAGATATGCAGATATCACATTGTTGAAAGCAGACACAAAATGAAAGCAACTTTAGGTAAAATAGAAGGGCACCAATGTGTGGCAACCGAATTAAGAGAAAGTAACTCCGAATTAAAAAATGTATGCGACCCTGGTGTAGTTCATACAACACAGCTAGAAAAAGGATCTTTAACATTGGATCGATGATCCAAACTAGGGTCGAATAATGATGATTTTAGGATTAGAATTATAATACGCACCACAGTATATATTTTGTCAGCGATTGGGCTCTGAAGAACGAGGAGTGATAGCAGGCTAGCTTTTATTATTCACTGTTTTACACAGTAATATTTTTATCACTACACTGGCCTTCTCTATATCTGTATATATGCTAGGGTATCAGAATGACACGTACACAGGGCTGCTAATATGAATTCACTTCGTTCTTCATTGGTAAGGTGGAAGTTTGATTTGAAACAATTCTTCCAAATATCTATAACATTATAAATAAGAAGACATTCCAGGATTGATTATTGAGAGCGACAATCTTAACAACATAAGATATGCAGATGTTTAGAGCAGACACGGAAATGAAAACCACGAGGACACTACAAGAATTCTTGCAGAAGGTAATGAGGGAAAGCAAAAAGAAAAGGACTTATTCAGCCTATATATTGAGGCGATTCTGAGAGAATTAGAAAACCTATCAGGATTCATTATTGGCGGACACAATCTTAACAACATAAGATATGCAGATGTTTAGAGCAGACACAGAAAAGAAAACCACGAGGACACTACAAGAATTCTTGCAGAAGGTAATGAATGAAAGCAAAAAGAAAAGAAATTATTCAGCCTATATATTGAGGCGATTCTGAGAGAATTAGAAAACCTATCAGGATTCATTATTGGCGGACACAATCTTAACAACATAAGATATGCAGATGTTTAGAGCAGACACAGAAATGAAAACCACGAGGACACTACAAGAATTCTTGCAGAAGGTAATGAGGGAAAGCAAAAAGAAAAGGATTTATTCAGCCTATATATTGAGGCGATTCTGAGAGAATTAGAAAACATATGAGGATTCATTAATTGCGGACACAATCTTAACAACATAAGATATGCAGATGTTTAGAGCAGACACGGAAATGAAAACCACGAAGACACTACAAGAATTCTTGCAGAAGGTAATGAGGGAAAGCAAAAAGAAAAGGACTTATTCAGCATATATATTGAGGCGATTCTGAGAGAATTAGAAAACCTATCAGGATTCATTATTGGCGGACACAATCTTAACAACATAAGATATGCAGATGTTTAGAGCAGACACAGAAATGAAAAGCATAAGGAGACTACAAGAACTCTTGCAGAAGGTAATGAGGGAAAGCAAAAAGAAAAGGACTTATTCAGCCTATATATTGAGACGATTCTGAGAGAATTAGAAAACCTATCAGGATTCATTATTGGCGGACACAATCTTAACAACATAAGATATGCAGATGTTTAGAGCAGACACAGAAATGAAAACCACGAGGACACTACAAGAATTTATTGCAGAAGGTAATGAGGGA